TCGCTGGTCCTCGGCATGACGAGGGAATGCTTGAACATCTAGCTCTCCCATCGACCATGCATCGCCTGGTCAGGTTTAAGTTATTCTTCAGGCCTGAAGTTATTGAATGAGTGAGTGATGTTTCACAGTATATCAGTTTGCTTAAGTGAAAGAACAACAAAAGTAGAAATGTCAAAACATGATTTATTAATAAGTATTTCAAACGATATTAACGTGGCAATGACAAAATAAATAATTTAATGTGTATGATTCCTGAACAGATATATTTCAAACAACATGACTGCACTAATCATTTGCATTCTCACTATTTACTTTTTGAAAAAAGTCATAAAACAACAAGACCTGGCTCCTGGTGATAGCAATGTAGATATATACAAAGGAAACAAAGACTATTCAAAACAAATACGTGCATACGGGTGGTAATGAAAAATTGTTCAGAGAAAGACTTGATCACAGATCCCACATCAATGGGTAAGAAGAACTCGAGAGTGTTCTGCCTTTCTCATCAGGAATAAAGGGTGCCCGGATTGTCATCACTCCGCCACGAACAATACTCTTCAGTTCAGACTCGTCCACATTTTCCGGGACATGTATATGCCGAGTTACCTTTTCAGTCTCGCAGAAGTTGTCTCCCTTTATTTGTCGCTCTGCTTCAACAACCAGTTCGCCGTGTTTGAATCTCACCCGTATGTCATTTGGTTGGTAGTCAGAAAGGTCCAGTTGAACTTTAAACTCTGGTTTGACGCCAGTGACTTCAGATAATATGACGTCAGGTGTGACTGCAACAGACTCTGAATCTACTGCATCCTCTTTACCGTTAGATCCTTCTGTCTCACACGTCTGCTCAACTCGGCCTGTTGATACCTGCTTCTCCACTGACAGTAATCTCTCGCTGCCATCTTCGGCCACTGTCCTGTCTCTGTGAACAGCACATTCGCCGGTCTCTTCGTTTCTTGTTGCCTTTGCTCTTTCGTCCTCACACTTACAGTCAGAGTCAACCACTTGCTTGTCGGAGATATTTCCCTCTGAAAAGCCTTTGTTGTTGCATTCTATCCCCTCAAGGGAAACATGCCTCTCAACAATTACTTCACCATCAACAAATCTGTGCACGATTTCCGATTTGTCGGCATCGGGAGGCAGCGGGAGTGACCTTTTGACTTGGAATGAGGCGTTTGGGTGATCCCGTTGGGCAGATACAGTAACGGCTTCATCAGTTACCTTCACCTTGACCTCGTCAGTATTGAAGCCCCGAAGGTCCAGAGAACCAAGAGTTTTCGTCTTCATCACTTTGGATTTTTTACGCAATATGGGACATTCCTCTGGTATTTCGCTCCGCCTATTCTTCAGCTTCCTGCATGGTCTCCGCGTGGATGCAGGACACTGTTGACCAAGGGGTCGATAACGCAAGGGAATCTTGCCACCTTTGCTCCTGTGTTTCCATGGAGACTGTCTGTTTTGGTTAAGCATCTCCTGGAAGTGCTTGACCATCAAACTTTGGCAGACAGGTCTCTGGGGAATATACCCCCAGCGCTGAGGACTTCTATCATCAGGCATGTGGACTGGAACAATTTGAACAAACATGCTGTCAGGCTCAACAAACCAGTGTGTAATGAGGCCTTTGATATAGTTTTGTAATGAACTCGGTAATAAGGATATATATATATATGAAGGTCCGTCGGCTGAAGTGGCTCTGTGTAGACTGACGAGTGAATAACTAGTGGAGAAATCGCCAGACTTATATACCCAAAGTGCACTGAACTAGAAACTTATGGATCTTTCCAGACGAGCGACAACGTGCCTTTGTTTACTGAACTGGGTATCACGTGGGCAGTTCTAAATATAGCACAGTAGGCGGAGCCTATCGGCTGAGCAGATGTTGCCGATTGGCCGAGAATATTCCGTCTGGCTGGCTTCTCTCGGATCAATACGGAAGTGATAATCTGTTATGCTCATGGACAAATATTCCTTTTATGTGAGGCTTCATAGCTAAAATCATAACATCAACTATTGTTCCTCATGCTAACCATGGCGCGATTTCACGTGTCTATATCTTGGTAGTACTGGGTGTTGATGAGACATAGTCTATATACACATTGGTAGCAGTAGGGATTGGCTACATATAGTATATCATAAAGAGTTGTAGTGTACATGTGGTAGGGCGGAGTGGGGGTTAGGTCGGGGATGAGGAGACAGGAGAAGAATTAATTTCTTTAAGATTTTCATGACAAGGGATTTTATGACTAATTTTAGTTTTGTCAGTAGAACATATACTGGCCCGAGAAGGATTTTGTCAGAACGACGAGTCTGTGTGATCTCTTATGATACCAAATACATGGTGCTCTACTCGCCAGAATAGCAAGAAATCTGATTGCTGTGACCTTTGAGCGTGACCTTATTATTTTACATGGTTCAGTGGACTAGTGCTTGGTTCAGCACATGCATTGATTTTCTCAAAACTGATACTATCTCTACAGTCCGTTTGAGTTCATTTGAGACCGATGAACTGCTCACTAACACAAAATCTAATAATTACAACAAAACCAAATTTTGCACAGTCACATGAAATCCACAGATCAACTCTGAATATTTGTCTCATAATTTTGGACACCCGAATAAAAAAGTTGTTTAACAAACGATCATTATTTTGTTGTCACTATTTTTACGTGGGGGACCACTTGCTGGTAGAACAGCCAGGTATAAACAAGGGCGTTAACTCGCACACCTGGCTGTTCTACCACAAAACCACAATATGGTTATGTTGTAATTATTAGATTTTGTGTTAGTGAGCAATTCAAAGGTCTCAAATGAAATCAAACGGACTATAGCTCATAATCACTATTCATAGTGAATACATAGTATGACCAGAAATTATTGAGAATTTTAGGAATATGTTTAATTGGATTTCTAGTATAAAAAACCTTGACCAGCTATCAAGTGCTTGGTTTCATTCAAGAAAGACAACTCCGTTAATCCTTTTTCATTAGTTTGTGAAGAGTTATCCCCCTTTGTTTACTTGCTAGCAGACGACATATTCAGTGATCCTCAGTATGGATGATTTAGAGAAGAGGAAGTTGATTTTAGAGTATTATAACAAGGACATCAGATCAGCTAAAGTAATTTCAAGTAGAACAGGCATCCCTTTGTCCACTGTTTTTTGTGTTTTGAAAAATATTGCAAATGGATATGGCACTGAGCACCAGGGAGGCGCAGGTAGGCCCAGAAAATTGAATGTCAGTGACAGGAGGCGGCTTGGTATTCTTGTTTCTAAAAACAAACGAAGGAGTTTAGAAAACTTAAGGCTGAATGTGATTGATATAGGAACTGTGGCCGTTTGTAAGGAGACAATTAGAACTGAGCTGCTTGCAATGGGTTCGCAGAAAAGTCGAGGAATTCCATCGCCGATCATGAAACCTGAACAAAAGGAGCGAAGGTTGAACTGGTGCTTACAGCATAGAAATTTTAACTGGGACAATATGATTTTCTCAGATGAAAGTTCTGTGTGGCTGTTTCCTAATCCACTGAAATTCTGGACCAAACAAACTGAAAAACCTTTGTATCAGCGCCCAAAGTGCAGTCCGAAATTTAACGTGTGGGGTGGCATATCTGTGTTAGGGGCAACGCCCCTCTGTGTATTTGAAGGGAATATGAACAGTGAGCGGTACACAGATATTCTCGAGGGACATTTACTTCCATCTGCTCACGTGTTCTATGGAAATGTTTGGATTTTCCAGCAGGACAACGACCCAAAACATCGTTCAAAGCATTCACAGGCCTGGTTTCGTACCCAAAATATGACATTATTAGATTGGCCAAGCTATAGCCCTGACCTAAATCCAATAGAAAATGTTTGGGGACTTATGAAGGAAAGTGTCAATAAGAAAAATCTGACAAATATTGCTGAAATGAAAGAAGAGGTGGTCCGATATTGGGACAGCATGGACCACGACTTTCTAACTTCTTTGATCAGTAGTATGCCCCGCCGCATTGAAGCCTGCATTGCTGCCCATGGTGACTTGACAAAATACTAACTGTTCACCTGTCTTTGAATCTGGAGTTATGTTCTGCTAATATTCACATTTAATACGTGAGTAATGAGTGAAAAAAAAACATAAAACATTACAATCTTAAATTCTCAATCATTTCTGGTTGTACTGTATATTCCTTTATATATAGCAGTCGCGTTCTCTGAAAAATAGCATAGTTACCATAAAAAATGCCCGCAAGTGACATGCTGTCCGACACTATCAAGTCAACGTTGGTTTTGGAAAACTAGAGATTCTAAACTTTCCAACAATACCAATACACTTTGTTATACCTCGGGTAGACCTACCTTTTTTTTTTGCTACCTGACTGTAGACTGCCCCTGGCCAATAGGGCCACCTTTCGTATGCACGATAAATTGCATTAAAACGACTTGACACTGTTCTTGTGTTTCTTGACAATGCGAGTAACGGGATCGGGTGGTCAGGCTCGCTGACTGGGTTGAAACATGTCATTGTATCCCAGTTGGGTAGACTGATGTTCATGCTGTTGATCACTGGATTGTCTGGTGCAGACTCGATTATTAACAGCTGGCCGCCATATAGCTGGAATATTGCTGAGTGCGGCGTAAAACTAAACTCACTCACTCTTGACAATGGGTGGCTTTTTCCCACTTCTTCGGCAAGTGTTTTTTTTTTTCATTTTTATCTATTTGTTTGGGAAGACTGGCTGACATACGATTTGTATAATGTGGAAATAGTCTAGCTATATCACACTAGGCCTGTAGAAAAACCATGAAAACTTAATATGTAGCTGCCATGAAATAATCGAGTCAAACAATAATGTTTGATATATATTATTGCGTCCTTAAGCACTGGCAAAGTCCCCGAGCTTGACCAACCCATCGATGATTACACAATGCCATTTAGAAAGTGGTCAAATGTAACCTATGTTATATTTGGGATTAAACTTTCTCAGTAAAGTACAAATTCTAGTACTTTTTTGAGTTGAGCCCCATCCGGGATTCGGGTTAGGCGGCCAACTTTGTGTGCCTGACTCTGAGGGTGTGAGTTCGATTCCCGTATGAGGCTCAACTAAAAAAAGTACTAGAATTTGTACTTTACTAAGAAAGTGTAATCCCAAATATAACATAGGTTACAACCCATCGATGTTGGATACGAATAGATTAATCCCATCCCTGTCACATAGTCACATGAAATATAGATTATAAAACTTTCATTTCATAATATGGTGTTTATTTTCTCCCGGAATACAGCAAATCGTCAAACGTCCACGAAGCCAGGCAAGGGAATTCCCCACAGGTGCAGTCACGCAATCGAGCGACCTCTACGTCTATTATTAGTAACAGCGGATTTTCCAGCTACCTGATTGGCTTGAGTGAAGGATTACATGGAACGTTCCAGGTCATTCTCCGCGGTCTGTCAGTGGGAACTCTCTCTATATAAACACTTGTAGCGGTTGTCAGTTGCATCAGAAAAGCTCATCGTTTATCAGAGTAACATATCTGTCTATCCCACTGTAGATTTCAACCTGTGTTGACTGTCAGTAAAAATGCTGCGACAAGTTTTTCCCCGGGTTTGTCGGCAACTGCGCAATAACAACATTGCCTGTGTACGCGGATACAGAAGAGATCTTCCTATTCGATTTCCATGGTCCCGATCACATTCACCCAGGGATGCGTTCTTCTCGGATATGCGTCCTTTTTTCCGATCCGGCATTGAGGACCACTTTCGTGACATGAGCAAGACGATGGAGGAGATGAAGAGACGCATGGCATCCCCATGTTCTACAAGCGCTCCACACCCGGGGAGACATTCACCAGGACCGAGACGGCAGAGGTGGGTGGGAGCGTGATATGAACTCAGTCCAACATTTAGACAGGCGCTAATTTAAAATATTAGTATTTCAGGTATACATCTCTTTAGCAGTATAATATTATGTTTACGCGAGTTGAATCATATTTAAGTGTTATACACCCGTTAAGATCCGGGTTAGAATTGATCTTCAGTAACCCATGCTTGTAAGAGGCGACTAACGGGATCAGGTGGTCAGGCTCGCTGACTTTGTTGACACATGTCATTTTATCACAATAGCGTAGGTCGATGCTTGCCCTGTTGATCACTGGACTGTCTAGCCCAGACTCGATTATGTACAGACCGCTTTATGGCTGGAATATTGCTGATTGCAGCGTGAAACAACAAAACAACCATTCTAATCGTTATACATATATACTGATCATAATACTAATAACAGAGGGAATATGAGTTGAAGTACTGATATAAAAAGGGATTTGTGATGTCACATAAAGCCGGACATTTCGTTGGAACTTTTCAGCGCATACTTCTTCATAAACTGCTATAATTGTTTGAGTCAGTACTAGTATCAAATGAACAATTATTATGATTGTTAGTTTCTAGTGTAAAAGCGTTAGCGTTAACCTTTCGTCTTTCTTTAAGTTATGATGTTTATAGTGTTTTAATATGTAACAGTCGCATCTCTCGAACATCTTGTTCCTGGTTACAGGTGAAGTACAACAGGAACACGTTCGAGGTGAAGGTCGACGTCCAGCAGTACGACGTGGAGCACCTGAAGGTCAGCCAGGTGGAGAACAGACTGGTCATCTCGGGCAAACACGAGACCAGGGCAGATGGCCACGGCTTTGTCAGCAGGGAGTTTACGCGGGAGTTCCTCCTACCCGAGGTAAGTCTCACCCAGACAAACTCTATGTTACAGTCATAGATTATTTATACACTAGGAATCTGCTGTAGCCGGTCAATACAGAGAGATATGGTGTGAGTCTGTGGGAAATACACCCATCTTATGGCATAAGACAGGTTAGAATTGTATGCAGTGCAACCTGAATAATGAAAACCTGTCATCGACGGAAACAAGGAATTAGAAGCAAGCTTTAGCTCTCTGCAACGTATGTAGCCTTTACCTAATATATGTAATCGCATATATAGCTATTGAAAATAACCCTATTAAACTGGTGAGTTTGATGCGAGATTGAAGGGAGGCAACTCTGTTAGACCTATTCTCAAGTAGCGCCTGACGCAACGCACTGTGATAATTGCATGTCCTACCTGGATTCTTCGAGACACATACTATTGCGATATGATCAACAACAGTGAGTGACATGTTTGTATTTCATATGACCGGCTGTGTCATTGACACATTGTAAATGACTGAGTGCTGCTGACAACAATATTTCATCTGTATAAACGGCGGCCTGTGAAATGAACTGCCGACGAAAGAAAAAATTGAAAATGTTGCCTGTGATAATTACATAATTTTCACAATATTGCATGATTCATAATCATATTCAAATCACATATTTATGAAATGTCTTGTTTTATAGATATGTGGACCCCAACTGTAAAATGAACCGGCTTCGTTTAACGTAGGCTCTCATTGTGATCATTTTTGTTGTTTTCTAGGGGTGGGATGATGTCTTTTCTTTTGGAAGCAGATGTAATATCACAGTACTGCTTAGAATATTGGCATTAATCATTCCAGCTGACAACTGCCTCTTTCTGAGAAATGAAACATTTTTTTCAGAACGTTGATGCAGAAAATATGACGTCAAAACTGACAGAAGACGGTTTCCTGGTGATTGAGGCCAAGATGAAAGGGGCAGAGGAGAGTACAGAGAGAGTGATAGAAATACAGAAGGAAGGGACGAATAAGGAAGGTGGAAAGACAGACTGAAAAAATATACTTGAAAGTGACAATTGTGATAGATGCATGTAAAATGATGAAAGCAAGATGTATGGGTGTGCATGGTATGATCTGACGAAACTTATGAATTTATGTGGCTCTTCGGAATAGTGTAAACAATTAAAAATATGGTTTTAATTTAATTAATGCAAATGAAAATATTTAGTTCAACCTGAAGTAAATTTGTAGACCTATATGAAATGTATAAAATATGTATTAATATCTTTGTCAGGTTTCCAAAGTCTGTGATTCCGAAACTGAAGAATAAAATACTTGTATCCTAATGGATTGAATCATTATTTGTAAATGAGTCTTACAATCGGACTTTGTCAACTGTTTATTAGGTGGTTTGATTGTAATGTGTGTCGATATTGATCGTCCTCATACTGTTAATCACACACTGATACAATTCTGACTCTGAGCTCCACCTAGGGCACCGATATGACTGGAAGCATTGCGTTGTGACACTTAATGACTGGGATATAATGCCACTCGGTGTCATTGTGTACTGAACAATATCCCGTAGGTTCACCTTACAGGTTCAAGGTTTGTCAGCACCATCCCCCGGTGGATGTCTCCGACTTGGTGGGGCGGTAGGATAGTCCACTGGCTGAATCGTTGGCTCGTCACGCAGAAGACCAGGGTTCGAATCCCCACAGGGGTACAATGTGTGAAGCCCATTTCTGGTGTCCCCCGCCATGATGTTGCTGGAATATTGCTAAAAGCCGCGTAAAACTAAACTCAGTCAGTCAGTCACCAAATTGGTAAGTGACTAGACCTGCGTCACCCGTGCGTCAAGCTGACACTCCGTGACATAACTGTATTACTGTTCAAAGAGGCCTCACACCTGCTCAATCACACTCACCAACTGGTGGTGATGGGATGAGCATCGTGACTCCTACAACCGATGATGATGGGGTGAGCATCGTGACTCCTTCAACTGATTGTGATGGGGTGAGCATCGTGACTCCTACAACTGATGGTGATGGGATGAGCATCGTGACTCCTACAACTGATGATGATGGGGTGAGCATCGTGACTCCTACAACTGATGGTGATGGGGTGAGCATCGTGACTCCTACAACTGATGATGATGGGGTGAGCATCGTGACTCCTACAACTGATGGTGATGGGGTGAGCATCGTGACTCCTACAACTGATGATGATGGGGTGAGGATCGTGTCTCCTACAACTGATGATGATGGATGAGCATCGTGACTCCTACAACTGATGGTGATGGGATGAGCATGATAACTCCTACAACTGATGGTGATGGGGTGAGCATCGTGACTCCTACAACTGATGGTGATGGGATGAGCATCGTGACTCCTACAACTGATGGTGATGGGATGAGCATCATGACTCCTACAACTGATGGTGATGGGTGAGCATCGTGACTCCTACAACTGATGGTGATAGGATGAGCATCGTGACTCCTACAACCGATGATGATGGGGTGAGCATCGTGACTCCTACAACTGATGGTGATGGGATGAGCATCGTGACTCCTACAACTGATGGTGATGGATGAGCATCGTGACTCCTACAACTGATGGTGATGGGATGAGCATCGTGACTCCTACAACTGATGATGATGGGGTGAGCATCGTGACTCCTACAACTGATGGTGATGGGATGAGCATCGTGACTCCTACAACTGATGGTGATGGGATGAGCATCGTGACTCCTACAACTGATGGTGATGGGATGAGCATCGTGACTCCTACAACTGATGGTGATGGGATGAGCATCGTGACTCCTACAACTGATGGTGATGGGATGAGCATCGTGACTCCTACAACTGATGGTGATGGGATGAGCATCGTGACTCCTACAACAACTGATGGTGATGGGATGAGCATCGTGACTCCTACAACTGATGATGATGGGATGGTGATGATGCATCGTGACTCCTACAACTGATGGTGATGGGATGAGCATGATGACTCCTACAACTGATGGTGATGGGGTGAGCATCGTGACTCCTACAACTGATGGTGATGGGATAGGCATCGTGACTCCTTCAACTGATGGTGATGGGATGAGCATGATAACTCCTACAACTGATGGTGATGGGATGAGCATCGTGACTCCTACAACTTGTGTGTAGCAGTGTAGAGTGTTGCTGGAACATGGCTCCAAGTCGCGAAAATCTCAGTTTCTTCTATTTCTCATGACATGAACGCACATTAAGTAACACGTGTTGTAATCACGTGGTTTCAATCCGGGTAAGACTTGGTAGTAAGAATCAGCACCAGTAACATTAGCCTGTCATACAGACCCTGAAACAAATATATGCAGGTCTAGATTATGTTGCAGATCTAGATTCCCACAGTTTCAGGAAAGTGAAGAAAGTCTGTGGGCTCCTTTTCATTATATTTTGTGATTATTTTTTATGAATAGTATTTTTCTGTAAAATATACCATTCACACTTTGCTAAGGATCAAATGATTGATCCAACAGAAAACTATGATGAGAGAGAGAGAGAGAGAGATTTGGAACACTGTTGTGTTAATGGACGAACGTTGTTAGACCGCACGCTCACACAGATTCACGTCTACACATGCATACATTCAGTATACACTCACAGACTCACACGCACGTCACCACGCCCACACACACACACACACACATATATATATATATAGGCACCAATACACCTTCACACATAAACGCGCACAGACACATAAATTCCCTCTCTCACACACCCATTACTAAAATAATGAGGTTTTCCTTCCGTTGTACAGCCTTTATTAAAGTTTTCCACATCAAATAGGATGTTTCATTTACTGACGCATTACTAAAGAGACGTGATCCATGTTTTCAGAGACAAAACCTGCAAGATACGAACGTTGCTGTGTCATCATATTAAAGATCCTGGGACTTTGTATCGATAGAGTATCGATATCTATCAATATATATTAACCTCACTGGTGTCGTATTGATTCTTACCAATATATCTCCCTTAAACCATCCACAAACAGTATCGTAATACTTTATCTGCGCTTTTGACAGGTCAGGGTGAAGACCTGACTTAATTGAAACACCCACGTGTAACTATTGAAGGGTGTTTCATATATATATGCCCGGAGTCCGTGCCCTTAGTAAACACGGCAGTTAATTATTGGCGTTGGCTGGGCTGGGGCTGTGTGCGTGTGCCACTCGCTCCCCTGGTCATTACACCGAGCGTATGATTTGTGTAGAGTTATCGGTCTATCATCGACACCCAAATCTTATCTATAATGACACATGTCTGTGGAACACGCACACCAACATTACTGGGACCAATACTGAAAGCAATCAGCTGTGTTTATTCAAGTTAAACACACAGAAAATAGATTTAGGAAGACCACGCTTCCTTTACTTGTTGCACACCCCGCACTTAACGCAAACACGAACCGTTGTTATATTTGGTTAGCCTGTCTCTAATGTAGAATTGGGAAACAGGTGCTTCAATGGTTTGTAGTCTGTCCTTGCGCAGTCAGTCTCGATTCATTCAGTCGAGACTAATTCAGTTCTCAGTCTGTCATTAATCAGTCGGTTTTACAATGTCGCAATGCAGTCAGCCTTGCAGTCCAGCCTACAGTATGTCGCGATGCAGTCAGCCTTGATTCAGTCCGGGTAATCAGTGCAGTCAGCCTTTGATTCAGTCCGGTTTCATACAGTATGTCGCAATGCAGTCAGCCTTGATTCAGTCCGGTTTCATACAGTATGTCGCAATGCAGTCAGCCTTGATTCAGTCCGGTTTCATACAGTATGTCGCAATGCAGTCAGCCTTGATTCAGTCCGGTTTCATACAGTATGTCGCAATGCAGTCAGCCTTGAGTCATACGGTTCAATCAGGTCGCGTTTCATTGCAGTCAGCCTTGATTCAGTCCGGTTTCATACAGTATGTCGCGATGCAGTCAGCCTTGATTCAGTCCGGTTTCATACAGTATGTCGCAGCCTTGATGCAGTCAGCCTTGATTCAATCCGGTTTCATACAGCCGATTGATTCAGTCAGCCTTGATTCGGTTTCATACAGTATGTCGCGATGCAGTCAGCCTTGATTCAGTCCGGTTTCATACAGTATGTCGCGATGCAGTCAGCCTTGATTCAGTCCGGTTTCATACAGTAGCATGTCGCGATGCAGTCAGCCTTGATTCAGTCCGGTTTCATACAGTATGTCGCAATGCAGTCAGCCTTGATTCAGTCCGGTTTCATACAGTATGTCGCGATGCAGTCAGCCTTGATTCAGTCCGGTTTCATACAGTATGTCGCAATGCAGTCAGCCTTGATTCAGTCCGGTTTCATACAGTATGTCGCAATGCAGTCAGCCTTGATTCAATCCGGTTTCATACTGTATGTCGCGATGCAGTCAGCCTTGATTCAGTCCGGTTTCATACAGCATGTCGCAATGCAGTCAGCCTTGATTCAGTCCGGTTTCATACAGTATGTCGCAATGCAGTCTGTCGTGATTCAGTCAGTTGTGATGACCGGATGAAGCTCAAGACCAAGGCGGAGATATCCGACTACTGTATAAAAACAACAACTTTAACAGTGATATACACAGGGAGAAAAGCGGCGGCATTCTAAGTCTCATTCTAAAGTTAGACGTCTCCTTAACATGGTTTACTCAATGATTAGGCCGTAAACTATAATGTTCGCTGAAGACAGTATCGTGTAAAGTGTATGGTAAAGGAGATAACACCCCGAATACGAGCACCATTTATGCTCAAATTATTACCACTCAATAGATCAGAGATCACAGCACACTGCCATACAAACTTAAAAGCCCAATTTACACAAGCCTTCACTGTAATAACAACACCAGCCATGAATATCTGATATTCCAGTCTGTCTCCTAAAGTTACAATGATTCCAACACATCACAATATAAGTACCAGGTTTCAATTTTGTTTAGTAATCTTTATGCTAGACGAATATGAACAAAGTTTAGAACCTTGTCGAAGTCCTACGATATATTGATTCTCTGTATGTGCGTGAGCCATGCGCCGTAGATATCAAGTCTTTATTGTCCTGATCATATTGTCAGTAACGTGTATTCTATAGGTGACAATTCACAGACGTGTTCGAAGGTTTGTATATACGTTATTGGCAGGTTCAAAGGTGACCATGTGACACGATACAGTCTCTCGCTTGGGACGGTCTCCTAGAGAAAGGAATGCCGTTGAGGTAACCGCCAACTTGAGCCTACCATATCAATATTGTCAAGGGGTCTATGAATTATTGTCTTTTTCTCACCCATATAAAGTCAGAAGTCTCCAAAGGTCTCGTGAGGTGTATTTACAAATGTGAAACATTTCATCATTTATGTTTCATTCTGTTGGATTTACGGTTGTTAATCTATGGATGTTTGTCTTAAGCTGTGCTCACTAAGTTGTTGCCAACGTTTGTTGAACGACTATGGATTAACGTGACAGTGTGATATATACGAACATTTGTTGCTGATTGTCTTTGTGGAGTACATCAAGTATGGATCTAACAACACTTGAAGGAGATTACTACGGAGCTACAGGCCATGAGAAGAGAACACGGAGGGCACCTCTAGGATGAGTGTGAAAGGAAAATGCGTACACAGGGCTGACTACTGTGATCGGCGCTCCCCGTTACCTAACGCTTTTGATGAGAGTAAGACATGTTTACAATGCGACTCCATGGACTGTCATATTGGGCGCTACTGGGAGTATTGCACACAATCAAACTGACATGGAAGAAACGAGCATGTTGTCATGGGTGGCAGACATGCACAGATTGAAGCACTGTTAGCACCTGGGAATGGGTCGGATCAAGCACCTTTAAGACGAGGAGATTTGACATGACTGTTCGGAAGTGGGCATATATCGAAACTGTTTATATATTATGATTTCATTGGATCTTTCTGAAGGTTCATCGCTCTTGAGATTGGATCTACCAATTACTACGCCACAGATCTCTCGTTACAAGATCAGTATTGTAAGTACACTGAAGCAAGTGAAATACGTTTGTTTCCATTTCTCAAAACTATGTGAAGAAATGTCACACGTACATAAACAATGACGATTGTTGCAGCTTAAAAATATTCCTTAATAACTTTTCTTATTATGACAATGTCTAATAACAAGCCTACTGAGAAACCAATATGGCGAAGAAGGGCTCCAATTATTCCAGTGAGGGAAAATCGGAGGTCCAAATACCTCAAACTGGCTAGCATGCATGGAGATCACCTTCCGCAACTGAGAAAACAGGACAGACCCGAGATATCGGACGAAGCTCGGCACTTTGACACCATGAGCGATGCTGTGATGATGAAACAGGTGAATATTATGTACAAAGAACACCAGCATGTTATTCAGAAGCTGACCAAAGGCCAAGATGCCGTGTACAAGATGATGTGCCGCGTCCAGAAGGAGAAGAGGATGATACAGAGAGCTGAGTGTGCGAGGAGACAGGAGGAGCTAAGAGAGAAGATGAAGTCGGAGAGGGTCAGGACTCTCATGAAGAGAGCAGTTGCTAAATTTAGAGAAAATGTTCAGAGGAGGAAAAAGGAAAGAGCTCTTGCTGAGCAAAGGAAGCAAGAAGAGAAAAAAGCAAAACGTGAACGGAGAGCAGCGAGGAAAGGTTCTGTAGCTGAGAGTAGTGGCAATGCGGTGACCGTAGCAGGTGAATCAGTTCAACGTGGAGATGTGAAGGTGCAGGCGGCGGTACAGGAGAAGGTCCAGGAGCAGGTGAAGGAGCAGGAGCACGTGCCTGAGAAGGGGCACGTGAAGGAGAAGGAGCACGTGCAGGAAGCGGTGCAGGAGAAGGAGCACATGCAGGAAGTGGTACAGGAGGAGGAGAGAGTGCCAGTGAAGACACAGGACTTGGGGGAGAATCCAGATGTGGAAAGGAGAGGTAGTCTGACTCGTAATGACGAGGATTCAAAATCCAACGTAGAAACTGCT